CTCTCTGGCCCACAGCTCTTTCCAGGGTATCCCTAAGAAAGGTTTTCCCCCTCCCTCATTAAACAGCTGGAATTCCCGACCCTCCTCCCGGTGCGATTAAGCATCGATCGCAATTGGCGGAGTCTGACATGTGTGTAACTTTAAACCCCCGGATAAAAATAGCTCCGATTCGAGCACCATCAGGACTCATTTCCTATTTGCTTAAAAACAGGGCGAAAAATACACCGAGAGCAGCTTTTGTGGGGAGAAAGGCGCTGCGCGAAACGTCAGACACAAGTTTCCTTCGATAAGCCACAAACAGGAGCGCTGCTGCTGCTCCTCCCTCCCCCCACCCCTTCCAAAAAAACACCACCAAATCCAGATAAGTTTGTTTATCTCTCTCTGGGAACTAAATCAGACCCGTTTCTCGACCCCTCGACACCAGCACGGCAGAGCCACCAGCCCCGAGTTCTGCTGAGGGAGGTCGGGCACGTTCAGGCGACAGATCGAGAAACATTTCATCCACTCTTGTCATTCCTACCCTTTCCCGGCTCACACCGCCACCTTGTAAACAAAAACTATTAATAAAACAATCCCAGAACCGAATTCCCAATGGTATTTTTCAACGCCACCCACTCTCCAGACAGAGAGAAAAAAGGGATTCACCGCCCCGTAAAGGGCCAGGAATAAAAACAAGGAGGAAAAATATAAACAGATCTATGAAGGAAGAAGGGGAAAAATAAAAAGTAATAAAGCCTAACCAAACCTGGAGGGTTACATAAACCTCTTGGGAGACGGGCTCGGGCCCTGATGCCCTTCACCCACCCCTGGGTCTGCTGAGCCAGACCTCGAGGGACCCCCCCCCCGTCCTCCCCAAAAAAATTAAATCCCTAAGCCGGCACCAGAAGCTTCGTGAACCGCGGGGTAAAATGGGGGAATAAATAATAATAATAAACCCCACAAAAGCCTTTCTTTGGGCTGTGGCTGCTGGAACTGCTCACCCCTTCCCCAGGGCAGGCAAGGGGGGGTGCGGGGCACCCAGACTGGGGTGGCATCGCCAAGGGGGATCTGCAGAGACACCCCCAGGGCCGCCCGTCAAGCCACAGAGGGGGATAAACCCCCCAAAATACGGCAGAACGGGGGGGTTAGGCCTCCCCTGCTGAGGGGGGAGGCAGATCCGACCCCCAGCTCCGGGGAGAGGCCGAGGGGGTTCGAATGGGGGGGGGTTTGGCGGGCGACCCCAGCGGGGGTCCCCGGTGCCCCCCGCCCTCCCACCCCTCTGCAGGCCCGGCCACGGGGCGGGGGGATCCTCGTCCCCAGTAGGCCCGGAGAGGGGCACGGCAAGGATACAGCTTGACCACGTCGGTGTCCATCCGCCTCTTGCCCGGGCTGGGGGACGACATGGTGGCCGCGGCCGCCCCCGGGGCTCCGGGCGGGCTGTCAGCGCCGCCGCCGCGGGCCGGGGCCGCCCGGCGCCGAGAGGAGCAGGGGAGCGCTGGGCCGCGAGGCGCTAGGACCCGCCGCTGTCGCTGTCGCCGCTCCTGTCGCCGCTGTCGCCGCTGTCGCCGACAGGGCCCCCCCTGCGCCGCTCGCGCTCCCTCAGCCGCTCCGGCCGCCTCTGCCCCAGCCTCTCTCTGGACCCCTGACGTCACCCGCGGTGACGTCACCGCCCCGCGGCGCTTCCATTGGCCTCGCCCGCAACGCTCCGCCGGCCCCGCGGCACGCCGGGAGTTGTAGTCCCGAGGGGGGGAGGTGGAGGGGGGTGTGGGAAGTGATGGATGCGCCGAGGGTTCGAGGCCCCGCTGGGGCCGCTAATTTCAGTTCCTCTTTTTCCAATGTTTCCCGGAATTCCCCCACGTGTTCCCCGTGTCTCCCCCATTCCCCATGAATTCTGTCTCCTCTTATTCCCCCCATTTCCATTTTGCTGGTTCCTACCACGGCCAGGGAACCGCCTCATAAAATATGGGGTGCGCCTATGTCAGGGCCTTGCAATTCCCCACGGCTCTGCCATTTCCACTGTTTTTCCACAATTCCCAATGGCTCCCAATATTCCCAATATTCCCCTATTTCCCATGTAGAAAGGGGTCAGGGAACCACCCCACAGAATATGGAGTTTGCCCACGGCAATCCCGTTCAATCCAAGCGGGAATGTGGCGACTGGCCAGAGCCCACAGCGGGAGTCACCACTGCGGATTTCCGGTGTGACATTGGCAAAGCATTTCCCGGTGCCTCAGTTTACCCACCCGGATGATGACAGCACTAATGGGTGTCTCCCACACCGATGGGATTCCGGTGTGGAACCTCCACACCCTGCATTCCTGATCCCCGGCATCATCCCATAAATCTGCCCCTGTGCTTCCTTCCCCTGTGGGGAGGAGACACAGCCAAAGAATCCCAAAAAGTTCCTCCATTTAATGCCCCAACATGCCCCGAGTCTGGCAGGAGCAGGAGGTGACATCACCTGAGGGGACTCAAATCCACACCCCAAATTCCACGGGGAATCTGGCAGGAGAACGGGGTTATATTGGAGCAGAGCAGCTGGGAAATTTGGGATAGAGGATCCTGGATTTCCCAGGCCACCATATTCCCTGACTGGTTCCAAGCAACTGGGAGAACTGGGAGGGGAAAACACGGATTTTACCGTAATTTCTTGGAATGCTTCTATTCCATCTGTGAACCACCAGTTTTGCAACAGGGATTATTCCAGGATATCAGGGACTACAACAGCACCCTGTTCCCTTTTGGAATACTTTAAGGCCACTTTTATAGCACCCAAACCTTGGAATGTGGGTGCTGAGGGAATTTTGGGGATCCTCTGAGCACTCCTCGCTCTGGAAATTGGGATGGAGGGGTTGTGGCTGGCCTCTCCCACCCTGGAATGGGGATATCATCCTCCCTGGATTGGTTGCATCCCAGGATTTGTGGGGTGGTTCCCTGATTTTGGAGAAAAATGGAGATGGGGGGGAGCCAGGAGAATCCATGGATAGGGAATGTAGGGAATAGAGGGAGCCACAGGGAACTGCTGGAAACCATTGGAAATTGGGAAACCAGAGTTCCAGGGGGATGTAAGGAATGGGGAGACCGTGGGGAGCTGTCAGGGATGGGGGATTTGTGGAAAAGAGCTGGAAAAGAGGCTCCTCCATGCCCATCCCAAGCACTTCCCAGCCTATCCTCGCCCCTCTGGATTTGGGGTGTCCCCATCTCCACCCCAACTCCCAGCCCAGAGGGCCGTGGGGTAAAGCAGCCCCTCGTTAGGGCCCCGTAATTAGAACCCCCTTAATAAGGAAGGGAATCCACCCAAATTCAGGCCCTGCTGCTTCCCGTGGGATTCCTGCCCGAGAAGAAACTCTGGATCCCAGGAGAAGCTCCCAGGTTGGTGGGTGCACCCCCAAGTTTTGGGGTTCAGCCCTGACCATGGCAGCCACTGCATTCCCAGAATCTCCAAATCCATCCGAGGGGATGTCACAGATGAAACCTCGGAAACCCAGGGAAACGGAGGCAGGAGATCCTTTCCTCAAAAAAATAATAATAAAAAAAGGAATGATGTATCCCTGTGCCATCCCTCCCACATTCCCAGACCTGGAGGGAGGAGATCCAACCGTGCCTGTGGAATCTCAGCCTTTCCCAAAGCCCCTTCCTCAATATCCTCAAGGATGGAGATGACACCACGCCCTTCCCAGCAGCCCAAGCCATGGAATCTCACCTTTTCCCAAGTTTTGGCTGCATCCCACCCTCCAACCTGGGGGATTTATCACCCCACAAAGGCCATCAGCAGAGGGACACGAGGGAAGGGATTGAGGCAATGGAAAAATACCCCAACAACAGGAGACAATAAAATGTGGAGAGGGAAACAGATGTGGATCCCATAAGGAGAAGAATGCCGAGGGATCTAAGAGCTACACCAGATCCAGAGCTCCTCCTGCCCTGGGGAAAAAAAGCACCACGCCAGCAGGAAGGCAAAAGGAGAAAAAAACAACAAAAATGAAATGTTTATTCCCACCTGGTGTCGCGAGGCGGCCGGACACCGCGGACACCTCGGGAGGTGACGGTGTCCCCTCGTCACATTCCCAGCTCCGGGAAGAGCTGTCCAGCCCCTCTGGAGCCCAGGGACACAGCAGCAGTTTGTGAAGGCAGGAGCTTCAGGAAGGCAGCCAGGGAAGGGGAGATGCCAAGGTGGCCGTTTGGAGTTTCCTCGGATTCCCCTTCCCGAGGCGCGGAGCTGGAGCCACCGAGAGGTTTGGATCTCTCTCTCCCGATGCCCCCCGTGCCGGTTTCTGGAATTCAGGAGGAATTCATGCTCTCCCACTGCCGGAAAATGCGGAACACCTTGCAGGATTTCTCCGAGAGGCTCTGGAAGAGACAACAAAGCAACAGCTGGAGGTCAAAGCACTGGAGCAGGACTCGCCACTGGCAAAGGGCAGGAGGAGAAACTGCAGCAAAAACTCATCCAAAATATCCCAATTTCCTGCCAGGACAGCAGTTTGTTCCTTGTTTTCATCATCCCTGTTTGCCAGCTTGGAGGGGAGAACAAGGAGACTACAAGCAAGAAGCAGGAAAGGACCCAAAAAAAGCAGAAAGGGACTCCAAAAAGCAAGAAGGGGACTCCAAAGAGCAGGCAGGGATTCCAAAAAGTAGGAAGTGACCCCAAAAAAGTAGAAAGGGACCTCAAAAAAGTAGGAAGAGACTCCAGAAAACAGGATGGGACTCCAGGAAGCAGGAAGGGACTCAAAAAAGCAGGAGGGGACCCCAAAAAGCAGAAAGGGACTCCATAAAGCAGAAAGGGACTCCAAAAAGTAGATGTGACCCCAAAAAAGCAAGAAGGGACCCCAAAAAGCAGGCAGGGACTTCAAAAAACCAAGAAAGGACCCCAAAAAGCAGGAGGGGACCCCTAAAAGCTGAAAGGGACCTCAGAAAGCAAGAAGGGACTCAAAAAAGCAGAAAGGGACTCAAAAAAGCAGGAGGGGACCCCAAAAAGCAGGAAGGGATTCCAAAAAGCAGGAGGGGACTCCAAAAAGCAGAAAGGAGCCCCAAAAAAGCAGGCAGGGACTCCAAAAAGTAGAAAGGGACCTTAAAAAGTAGGAAGGGACTCCAGAAAACAGGATGGGATTCCAAAAAGCAGGAGGGGACCCCAAAAAGCAAGAAAAGATCCCAAAAAGCAGAAAGGGACTCCATAAAGCAGAAAGGGACCCCAAAAAGTAGGATGTGACCCCAAAGAAAGCAAGAAGGGACCCCAAAAAAGCAAGAAGGGATTCCAAAAATTAGGAAGTGACCCCAAAAAGTAGAAAGGGACCTCAAAAAGTAGGAAGAGACTCCAGAAAACAGGATGGGACTCCAAAAAGCAAGAAAGGCCCCTGAAAAGCAGGAGAGGGCCCCAAAAAGCAAGAAAGGGACCCCACAAAGCAGGAGGGAACCCCAAAAAGCAAGAAAAGGACCCTGAAAAGCAGGAGAGGGCCCCAAAAAGCAAGAAAGGGACCCCACAAAGCAGGAGGGAACCCCAAAAAGCAAGAAAAGGACCCTGAAAAGCAGGAGAGGGCCCCAAAAAGCAAGAAAGGGACCCCAAAAAGCAGGAAAGGGACCCCAAAAAGCAGGAAAGGGACCCCAAAAAGCAAGAAAGGACCCCGAAAAGTAGGAAGAGACTCCAGAAAACAGGATGGGACTCCAAAAATTAAGAAAGGACCCTGAAAAGCAGGAGAGGACCCCAAAAAGCAAGAAAGGGACCCCAAAAAGCAGGAGGGAACCCCAAAAAGCAAGAAAAGGACCCTGAAAAGCAGGAGGGGACTCCAAAAAGTAGAAAAGGACCTCAAAAAGTAGGAAGGGACTCCAGAAAACAGGAAGGGATTCCAAAAAGCAGGAGGGGACCCCAAAAAGCAAGAAAGGGACCCCAAAAAGCAAGAAAGGGACCCCAAAAAGCAAGAAAGGACCTCAAAAAACAAGAAAGGGACCCCAAAAAGCAGGAGGGGACCCCAAAAAGCAAGAAAGGACCCCGAAAAAGCAGGCAGGGACCCCAAAAAGCAGGAAGGAACTCCAACCATCCCCTGATCCAGCTGGGTCTGGTGCCTCTGATTTGTGACCGATGCCACTGGAGCATTTGGAGCTTTCCAGGCTCCTGGCAGAATCACGGAATCATGGAATGGTTTGGATTGGAAAGGACCTTAAAGATCCCCCAGTTCCAACGCCCTGATGTGGGCAGGGACACCTCCCACAGGAAGGGGACACAAAAATCACAGGAAACTGCCAGGACAAATCCCAAAGCAGGAATGCTCCACCGCTCTCCTGAGCTCTGAGAGAAGCTGGAAAGAGCTGGCAGGAGAAATCCACGTGGATAACGAGATCCAGGGAGGCAGCAGCTGCTCCACAGCCACACGGGGAGGGAGTTGTGGCCTCAGCTCTGCTCCCCTGGTGTTATAGATACATTTTATATTGTTGGCTTTTCACAAATATTAAAATCAATGTTATAGGTATAAAGTTAGAGAATTTGTTAATATGGTTTCTTCTATTTCTGTTGTTGATGATACTTAGAAATAGTGGTATGATATACATATATTTTGAGCTATGGCATAGTATTAAAACAAAAACTACTTTTGTTTGTAGAACCCAAAGACTGAAAAAGATAGCTAGAGACTCCCTTCCGTTCTTAAATTATCTTATCCAGATGAGGACAGCAGTGACCAGAGCTCTGGGGGAGGAATTTATTGCATTATCAGGGAATGTGAAACTTGGTGGAGCCAAAAAGATTGATTAATTGGGAAGGGGGCAAGCTAAAAACTAAACAAAGAAACATCCAAAACTTAAGAAAAATGTCTGAATATGTATGAGAATTTATGGATATGTAGTAGGGTTCTATTTTTAAGGGACAATCCTTTGTTAGTAAGGTGAATGCAGAGACACCCGGCCGTATCTGTATATTTATTTTTACCTCCTAATTGTCTTTCTATTAAACTTTTAAATTCTATATTAATAAAAAAAATTCTATATCATATCTATAAAAAAAAAAGTGAACCTCGTTTTCCACACTGGCAATCCAAGAGCCTGGAGCCAGGAATTGCAGAGAGGAGCTCTGGGGACAGGGAATGAAACCGGATCTCGGGCAGCGCCGAGGCCGTTATTTATAGCAGCCCTGGAGCAGCTCTGGCACAGCCTGGCCTTGGATGGAGCTTTTGGGAATGCCTTTTCACCTGCCTGGGATTGTGTTCATCCCAAAAAAAGCCCCTCCATCCCAAATTTTTGCTGCCTGCACAAGCAGCGTTCCGGTTTTTGGGACGCCCCAGGCTCACCGCTGGCTCCGTCTCGGGCTCCGTGTCACATTTTTGGATGCTGAGGAGCCTCTTCAGCACCACTTCCCAGCCTGGCTTGGCTTTCCCAGGTTCCTTCTCCGTCTGGGATGCAGCATCTTCCAGGGATTCCTCTCCCTCCCCGCTGCTGACCCAGGGACACCAATCCCGGTGCTGAGAGCTGGGGTGAAAGAAGCTCCTCAAGGAAGTGTCCTGGGGAAGCGAGGAGGTGACAGAGAAGGGACACAACAACAAAAGAATGATTTAGAGCCTCTAAAAAACCCTTTTTTTAACCCAAACCCCAGCCCCTGAGCTGGCTACTCCACCAAATCCCTGGATCAGGGAAGATCCTGCTTGGATCACTCACCGAGCTGCTGGAAGAGCAGAGCCGCGCTCGCTTGGCCCTGCGGACAGGGCTGGATGGCACCTCCATGTTGTCCCCCTGGCCCATGCTCCGCGTCACCGGGCGGCTCCTCAGCGTCACATCCCTGCTCACATCCAGCTCGCCCCGGTCCATGGAGCTGGGAGAATCCCAACCCCTTGGGCGGGATACAGCCGGGGATGGGCTCTTCTCGTGCTGCTGGGTGGAAAAAAAATGGGAATTAACGGCGTTGTCCGGCTCCAAGAGCCCTTCCCGCCGCAAGGAGAAAGGTTTAGCTGGGATATCGGGAAGGAATTCCCGGCTGGGAGGGTGGGGAAGGGTTGGGATAGAACTCCCAGAGAAGCTGTGGCTGCTCCTGGGATCCAGTGGATGTGGATGAGGGCAGCCGGGAGTCCCTGCAGCGCCCAGATATCCCAGGATGTACCTGCTCGGATCCCGGATCCTGGCTCCGCGTCAGCATCCGGCGCGGGGATGTGGGAACGGGCGGGAAGCGCTCGGGAGCGGCCGGGGTGGCGCTGCCGGAGCCGCAGGAATCCGGCTCCGGAGCTGCGGAAGATTCCAGCTGGTGGAAGCCCCACAGCCCCACCTTCCTCATGCAGCGGGAGCAGGTGATCACGGAGAGGTTCATGGAGCCCGAGGCAGCACTGCGGGGACAGAGCCATGGAATCCTCATGGAATCCTCCAGGAATCCTCCAGGAATCCTTGTGGAATCCTCCAGGAATCCTCATGGAATCCTCGTGGAATCCTCATAGAATCTTCATGGAATTCTTGAGGAATCCTCAAGGAATCCTCACGGAATCCTTGTGGAATCCTCAAGGAATCCTCACGGAATCCTCACGGAATCCTCATAGAATCCTCGTGGAATCCTCATGGAATCTTCATGGAATTCTTGAGGAATCCTCAAGGAATCCTCACAGAATCCTCACGGAATTCTTGAGGAATCCTCAAGGAATCCTCACGGAATCCTCAAGGAATCCTCACGGAATCCTCACGGAATCCTCATGGAATTCTTGAGGAATCCTCAAGGAATCCTCACGGAATCCTCAAGGAATCCTCAAGGAATCCTCATGGAATTCTTGAGGAATCCTCAAGGAATCCTCAAGGAATCCTCACAGAATCCTCACGGAATCCTCACGGAATTCTTGAGGAATCCTCAAGGAATCTTCATGGAATCCTCATGGAATCCTCAAGGAATCCTCAAGGAATCCTCAAGGAATCCTCACAGAATCCTCAAGGAATCGTCACAGAATCCTCAAGGAATCCTCGAGGAATCATGGGATGTGTTGGGATGGATTTTAAAGATCACCTCATTCCAACCCCTCACGGGCAGCGACACCTCCCACCATCCCAGGTTACTCCAAGCCCCGATGTCCAACCCGGCCTTGGACATTCCCAGGGATGGGGAAAGTCAGGAGAGGTGGTCAGGGATAAGGCTGAGCTTGGAAAAGTCAGGGAAAAAAATTCCATTAAACCCCATCTGTGATGATGATGATTTAAACTGGTTCAGTTGCATTTTGTCTGGCCAGGAAGCAGAGGGGAAAAAGAGGGGGAAAAAAGTGGTGAAATAAGGGAAGAGGGAATGTGGTGGAAAAGTGGTAAAACAGTTAAATAAGGGAAGCAGGATCTCAGTGAAAAAGAGGGAAAATAGGAAAATAGCGACACAGAGGAAGCAGGAGAGCAGTGAAAAAGAGGGAAAACGGGAAAATAAAATCAGGTAGGCAGGAAGGAGCACAGTGAAAAAGAGGGAAAATAGGAAAAGAGTAAAATAAGGGAAGCATCATGGAAAAGAGGGAAAACACAAAAATAGCGAAAAAAGGGATAGTGAACATTCCACAGGAGGAACATTCCACATCCCTCCAGCCTCCAAGAGTTTTCATGGCAAGCCCAGAGCGTGAGGGACGTTCCAGGCCCTGCTCACCTGCAGGTCCAGCCGCACAGCGCCAGGATACAGGCGGGAACGTGAACCTGCAGGATTTCCGTGGAAAACTTCCCGGGAGGTTTCTCTCCCTCTGCTCCTTTGTGCTCCAGTTCCTCCCCAATGAGCTGGAGGAGCCGGGTGATCCTTTCCTCCGTCAGGGACTGCGGAGAACAGGGAGAAAATGCGTTGGTTTTGTTCCCAAATCATGTCCCACACGGAGAAAAAAATTCCCAATTCCACCCTCTGGAATTGCATGGTCCAGCACCCCCAGCTCAAACAGGGAAAAGTCACTCAGAGAAATCCTCTGGCTCCCCATTCCGTGAAATCTGCTCCATCTGCTCCCCCCAGCAGTGGAACAGGTCCCGTTCCTGCCGTGGTTTTGGGAGTCTCCGGTGGTTTCCGAGCTCAGCCAGCCCCAAAACATCCCCGTGGTTGTGCTGAATGGATGAAGATTCCCTGGATCCCACAGGGCTGCCCAGAGCCATCTGTTCCCTGGCAAAGGAGTGTCCAACGAGCCAGACTTGGCTGCAGCAGAGCAAGGCCAGGACAGGTTCCTGCAGGGTGGCAATTCCATGTTTGTTCCTGGCTTTTCCTGCTTTTCCCTCCTGCCTGAGGAGCCTCCTCGGGCTCCTTCAGCTTCCCGGGTCTCTGCCCACACCTCAGGTCCAGGGCATCCCAAATTCCTGTGTGGAATCCCTGGAGTGATCCGTGGGCTGCCTTGGAGAGCTCCCAAAGGGGTCTGTGGGATCCCAAATCCCATCTCCAGGCACCACAGAGCAGCCTGGACACTGGGAAAAGTCCGGAGTGGGAAGCAGATACACTTCCCAGCTTGGAATAATTCCCAGCTGTGGAATGAGCCATTCCCAACTCCTCTTGACACGTTTCCATGGTGGAACATTGGAACATGTCCAAGGAGAAAAAAAAGCAAGTGGGAACAGTTCCCTCACACGCACACAGAGGCTGAAATTCCAGATTTTGGGATGGTCCCCGAAGCCTGGAACGCTCCGGATTTTGGGAGCAGGAGGGAACTCACCATATTTTTCAGGTCTTCCGGTCTGAGGGAAGGCAGCTGCAGCTCCAGCTGACACAGGCTCTGGAAACGATCCAGGAAATCCTGGAGAAGGACTCTGGGCTCATCCACCAGCAGCCTGGCAAAGCGATCTGGTGAGAGGAAAAGCTGCGCTCAGCATTCCCAACCCTTCCTTATCCCACAGGGAATGGGATAAGGATTCCCACCAGCCAGGGTCTCCACAGAAATGCAGTGATGGGATAAGAGGGAATGAGCTTAAGCTGGAGGAGGAGAAGTTTAGGTGGGATATTGGGAAGGAATTCCTGACTTGGAGGGTGGGGAGGGGCTGGGATGGAATTCCCAGAGGAGATGTGGCTGCCTCTGGATCCTTGGAGTGTCCAAGGCCGGGTTGGATGGGGTTTGGAGCAGCCTGGGATAACAGGAGGTGTCCCTGCCATGGCAGGAGTGGCCCTGGATGGGCTTTAAGGTCCTTTCCCACCCCAAAAAATTCCATGATTATTTTTCTGGCTTTTCAAGGAAAAGCTCAGCACAGCTTCCAAGACAGGATTTATCCCTCTCTGAGCATTCCATGACAGCCAAGCTCCCCTGTCCCCTCCCAGTTACCACCCAAAAACATTTTAACTGCTCCCAAAGGGCAGGAAAAGCTGGATCCAGCTTGGATTCGCTGAGGCTGCTCAGGGATGTTGCTTTCCTCTTGCATTCCATCATTCCCACAGGGAAAAGGAGAGTGTGATGACAGGAAGAACAAGGGAGAAAGGAGGGAAAAAAAACTGGGAATGATGCTGGATGGTGCAGGAATCTGAGGCACCCACCTGGGCAGGGGCTGTCTGGCCAGAAGCAGAACTTCTCGTGGGCAGTGCTCAGAGCCTTCCTGAGCTCCTCACAGCGCTCCTTGTCTGCAGGGAAAAACTCTGGGATAATTCCCTGTGGAGCCACCTCCTCAGGGAATCACTGGGAAAACCAAGCCAGGAGAAGAAAGCACCAGGATTGGGAGAGTTTCCCTCGGGTGCTGCCCGAGGATGCAGAGCCTGAAGCTTCACCTCAAACTCCCCAGCAAGAATTCCAGGAATTGGGAACAGCAAATGTCACCTGAGCCCTTCAACCTCCCCCAAAATTCCCAGGCACAGGAACCTGTGGAAAAACAGCCCGTGGGCACAAAAACTTGCTGGATCCTGCCAGTTTTTCCTCCCGGGATGCTGCCAATCCCTGGCTGAGCTGATCCCTCCACCCCGGCTGCAGGAGCCAAATTCCAGCCATGTCTGGAAATCAAACTTCCCAAAAAAATTAAAAATAAAAAAAAAAATCTGATATTTAATTTCACTTCTGCTTTCAGAACCAAAAAAATTTCTTTTCTAATTTGTTTTTCGATGACTTCTTCCCCAGTCTTTGATTATTTTAGTGTGATTTCCAATGGAATAATTAGGCCAAGGTTTATTTAACAGAGATAATCTGAATAAACAGGGAATGTTGATACTGAGTGACCCAAAAGGAAAGGCTCAGTATTCCCATGAGCCACATGGCAGGATTCACTTCCAAGGGAATTTCAGCCAGGAAAATTGAGAAGTGGGGATGACACTTCCTTATATAAGGGATAATAAAGGAGTTTATTAATTAAATCTCACAATGTAATTTCTGCCTGAATGGCCTTGGTGAGCAGCAATTGCTGCACTGGAAAAATTCCCTGGAGGATCAGGGAAGCAGGTCCAGGAATTGGGAAAGAAAAGTTTTAAAAGAGAATTTTGAAAAGAATCTTCAGATCCTTAAAAAAAAAAATTCCTTAAATACTTCCAGAAGGCAATGAGGCTGGAGAAATGTCTGGAAAACCTGGAAAGAGGCTGAGAGCCTTGGGATTGTTTGGAGAAATGGAGGATGAGGGGTGAATTCTGCACCTTCCAGAGCTCTTCTCCCTGGAATTCCGTGGGATTGGGAATGGCTCAAAGCTGCACCAGGAGAGGCTCAGGCTCAGGATAATTCCTAATGTTCCCTACCAGGATGATCCAACTCCGGAATATTCCGAGAGGTGATTAGTGCCCCAAAGCCTGGAAGTGTTTTGGATGTTTTGGATAATTCCCTTGGTCTGGTTTGAGGTTTGGAACCTCACTGGGGTTTTCCAGACCTTAAAGGATGGGTACAAAGAGGATGGGGAGGACAAGGAGCAGTGGGGACAGGGGGTGCTGCCAGAGCTTTTATCCCAGAATAAAAAAGAGATTTTTTTACAGTGAGAATTCCATCATTCCCTGGGACCATTATTCCCTGGGATCATCATTCCCTGGGACCATCATTCCTTAGGATCATCATTCCCTGAATATATAATTCTTTGGAACCACCATTCCCTGGAATCACCATTTTATGGAACCACCATTCCCTGGCATCATCATTCCCTGGGATAACCATTCCCTGGGATAACCATTCCCTGGCATCATCATTCCCTGGCATCATCATTCCCTGGAACCACCATTCCTTGGGATAACCATTCCCTGGAACCACCATTCCCTGGAACCACCATTCCTTGGGACTGCCAATCCTTGGAACCACCATTCCCTGGAACCATCATTCCTTGGGATCACCATTCCCTGTGATCACCATTCCCTGGAACCATCATTCCCTGGAACCACCATTCCTTGGAACCACCATTCCTTGGAACCACCATCCCCTGGGATCATCATTCCTTGGAACCACCATTCCCTGAAAATCAGCCAACAACAGCACAAGCTCTCAAATCCCTCCCAACCCACCTACAATTCCACAACCTCTCCCAGCTGGAATTCCCTTCTCCAACAACAACCCAGCACCTCTTACCCACCAAACCCCGCTCTTTCCCCAAACACCCAGCCCTTGGCGGGACCCGCTCCCGGAACCCGGCTGATCCCGGAACCCGGCTGATCCTGGAACCCGGCTGATCCCAGAATCCCGGCTGATCCCAGAATCCCGGCTGATCCCGAATCCCGGCTGATCCCAGAATCCCGGCTGATCCCGGAACCCGGCTGATCCCAGAATCCCGGCTGATCCCGGAACCCGGCTGATCCCAGAATCCCGGCTGATCCCGAATCCCGGCTGATCCCGGAACCC